CCCAGTTCAAGGGTCAGATGCTTTAAAGAAATCCGAGGAGCATAAGAGGCAGGCTAGGGCCGAGAGGTTTCTATTCTTTCTGTTTTCTTCATCTGAGATGTATTAGTTTAATTGGTTAGGAGTTCTTCTCGAGCCAAGGTTTTTTCAGAGATGGCCTCTCTACCTCCTCAAGGTAGGGGTAAGGTTTGCGTGTAGACTCTACCCTCTACAGACCCCGCTTATGGGACTATATTGGGTTTGGGTTTGTTGCTGTTTGGTTATGAGTTCTTCATAGATTTTGTTACTCCTCAGGTTTGGGATTGTGAAATCTGACACAACTGATGAGGAGGCTAAGAAGAAGAAGGCTAGGTTGACTAGGTTTGCGCCACCAGGGAAGGCTGATCCAGTGGAGGAAGATAAAAGGAAAGCTAGGGCTCTCAGGTTGTAAAAAGTTAAAATTGTTCATTTTCTCTTATTACACCTTGGAATCTGCACAATATTTTCCATCCATATATCAGTAAGAATCTATGGATAAATGAGTGTTTGTCAGATTTATGACTTAAATCTGATAGTCATGTACTATTTTTTTTATAATAGGTTTTCACAACCCCAGCCTGGTTCACAACCCCAGCCTGGTTCACAACCACAAGCAAATGGCAAAGGAAATATTGAGCAGGTTTGTTTTTGTTTTATAAGCAGTGCACAAGGTTTGGCCCAAAGAAAAAGAGAAGTGACATCATTATGCATTTGAATGTTATTTACTTTAATTATTCGCTTGGTATTCATGATCTGAGAGGCAGATCTTGTGTCACCTCCTCATCTAATAGTTTAAGCTATTAAAGAGGAAAACTTTTATTTATTTTGGTCTTCAACACTTCGCACGATTGCTTAGGCCTCCTGAGATTGAATGGCTAATCCTGTATAAGTCTCTCAATCTGTCAATGAGTTCTCTTTATTCTGTTGTATATTTTCTACAGCTCAAGAAAAGGATTATATAAGGAAAGAGGTGCACCAACTCACAAAAATGCAGTGTGCAGTCGGGTGGGGGGTCTCAGACAGAAAAGAATAGGAATAGAAGTTTGACCTTGCTTCTCTCTCTTGGATTGCCATGCTAAAATAGAAAAGAAGAGGAACACTATTCTAGCTTCTCTTCCATAACTTTCACTAGGCAAGAGGTCAAAAATAAAAGGAAGATTCAACAAACAAAAGAAGCATCTAAAGGATCTTCTTTTTTTGATTCTTCATTCTTTAAACTCATAACGGTGGCTGATTTTATAGTATTTACCTTCAACTCCTTATAATTTCTTCTTCTGCCCCTTTTCATTTTTAAAATCATTCCCTTCATCTTTGGATACAATCCTAAGTGGGTTCACCTTTTCTGGGGTTTGGTAAACCCTGGGTCCATACAAGCACACTTGTATTGAAACCCATATTTGTGAACATGGGTCTTCTAGTTTAACTTTAAAAATCCACTGCTGAATGAGTAGTAGTAAAATACCTCACACAGGTTTCCACAAAATCATTCTCAGTTTCCTTACTCTGTTAGTTGCTGTTCGTCTCTGATTTCGGAGTATGGTAAGCTGTTTGAGCTCAAGATTCTTGGGAATTACAACAATGTCTAGTCCTGTAGCCAACACTATTTGTCATCTTTGTTGTGTTGGATGGGAAGTTCTTATGTATCCTGTTTGTGGTTGTGTAGTGTGTCATATATAGGTTGGTCATTTTTAAAGGACGAAACATCAAGATCAATTGTGAAGTTGGTACTTATTTTAAATGACTGTGGTCAATGAAGTGGGTTGAGAACCCTGACCTACTTCCGTCCAAGCCTTTTTAGACAAAGTTACTTGGTATGTATGCTTGTGGGAGGTAGCATGTATCCCATGGAATTAGTCAAAGTGTACTCTAGTGGTCTGGACACCATAGTTATAAAAAAAACTATTACGTTAGTGTAGTGACTGACATTTAGTGAATGGTTTTTTCTTTTGGGCTCAGTAATTGTTTTTATACTTCCATAGATATTAAACATTTGTTGTTTGTTTGTTGAGTGGTTATCACCGTCAGGATTCTGTACTCACTGTTTTCAAATTCTGGATCCCTCTTTGTTTGGTTCTTTCTTTCTTTCTTCCTCTACAAGCAACAATGCCTCACCCCCAAACAATTTGGGATCAGCTATATGAACTCCAACTGTCCATGTTTCTTCTTTTGAGCACAACTCATGTCATCATCATACCAAATAAAAATATAAGTGAAAGATAAGTAAAATATATATATATATATTAAAAATAACAACAACAACGATTCTCTATATTTTTACTGGCATATAGATCTATGATAAGGTCAAGTACATCTACAAAAGCAATAGGTTCACAATTAACGTTCTAACAAAGACAAAAAACTTATTTCCAACTAGTGTATATCATCTGTAGGGATCTTTCTCTAATTTCTTTATGTAGTGTAATAGCTTTTTCCTAATCTATGGATATATTTAATTCAGGAAGCTGTTGCTGTGGACAAGGCTGGAGAACCTGAATGATTCCAAACTTCATAACGAGTAAGACTTGCTTGATTGTATAGTTTACTGTTGTTGGGTTGTGGTTAGGGGCCTTGTTAACTGCAGAATTGGAGTTCCTCATCTTTTAACCACTTCTTTCCAATTCTTGCAGGTTGGTGGGCTTGGATCCTAAAGTTTTTGACCTTTCCGTAGTTTATATAAATTTTGGCTTTCGAATTACTGCACAAAAGGCTTTTCGGGTCTTCCTAAAATAGCATACTATGTGTTTCTGGAGAGCACTAGGATAATTGACAACCACCTCCTTGGCATCAAACTACCGGAAATGACCCATGATCAATATTAAAAATGATGAAACTACAACCAAAGTATCCTTCTTGAAGGGTTTGATTTGACGACTTCATCATCAATCTCTAAGTTATTAATCTGCATTATATGTCACGTTTATATTGTAATGCATTGTCCTTTAACATAGTAAAAACATAGACTCCTGTTGCATGTCAAGGATCAACCAGTGCTAGATTTTTAGTTTTGATTTACCCAAGTGGTTCAGAGTAGATTGGAGATTGCTTGATGTTAAAACTTAATGTTCCCCATGGTTAGAGGTTTTCATTGATTTGGCTGTTTAATTCAACCTTATTGACTCTAATAGCTGAAGTGGGAAGTGTAGTGCATCTTGTGTTTTCTAGCATCTAAGTATTTATCTTGCTCTTAAAGATCCAAGAAATCTGTACTTCTCTTTGATGCATCATATGGTTTGGCCATGCTATATTCAATATTCTTGTTGGGTTCTCCATAGTTAGAAAGGTAAGACTAGTTATATGTGTTGCGATATATATTTACTACTTGCTAGTGCATCTCATGGTTGTGAAACTTGTTTGCACACTGCTGGAGTTATATGATGGTCAAGTCGTCAAATCCACATTCCTTCAAACTGGTTCTTTTTTGGGTTTGCTGTTTTTCTTATGAAAGGTTCAATGGTTTAAGAGCTTTCGAAGTTTTCTTAAAATTTTGATGTGGGTCATTTCGGACAGATTGACACTAAGGAGGTGTTGTTCAACTACCTAGTATCTCCAGGTAAATCTTGTAGGCTGCAGTCGATGGCCATGTAGAAGTAGGTTTAATGTATTACGAAGACATCTAGTTATGTGTTTATTCTTCTTGTTATGTTAATTGTAAACAGCAATGTTATTTTAGTTGTGTTTTTAGTCTGAGCTTTCAGTAAAACCCATTGTCAATGATTTTATGCCTTTCTGTCGTTGTACTTGTGTTGTTTCAACTTGGATGGAAAGGTTTTTCATACTTCTTACTGATGAGTGGACAGAACTTTGATGTAATATCGAAATCAAGGAATCATGGGTTCCTAAATTTTAGAGTTGATCACTTGATTGTCTAACTACTGTTTCGGGCAAAATGCAAATGGAAAATTGTTATTGATGCCTAGACGGATAATATATGTTAACTTGATTGTAATTTTACTAAATTAACTTTATTAGTGATGCTTTTAAATTCCAAGTTTTAAGTACTTCTATTCTATGTAGTTATTTAATACTAAAGGTAGTATATAAAGAAAAAAAATGTACTCTGTTTTAATTTGTTTGACTGTTATTTTATTTTTGTTCTCTTAAAAATAAAAAACTCTTTTGTTGTTTTATTTATTAATTTTTTAATTTGATTTTTTTTTATATAGCATGTTTAAGATTAGAAGATTCAAAAAGTATAGTATATGAGTCAAAGGAAAATGAAACATAAGAACTATTAAGAAATTGTATATCCAAGACTGGATATTTTACTGCTTTCAGTTATGGCTCCTAAAAGAAGTTGCAGTTGGTATTCAGAGTTTAAGAATCAAATGGTTCGAGTACACATACATATGACTAATTTATTATTTTGAAAAATTAACAAAAACATTATTCCAACTCCATAGATGCAGCCTGTGAGGGCATGGTTGAGTGGTCGGGGGGTGGGCCTCTCATTTAGGAGACCTGAGATTGAATTTAGCTTCTGCTTACGTTTAGTCATGAGCTCGTTGCATGGGGTTTGCTCAGTGTAGTCTACATAAGTGCTCACTTGAAGGGCAGAGGTTGTGGATTTCCCTGGGTTTCTGTTACTCTCGTCCCAGGGCATTAAGGACTTAAGTTTTTGGTGAATAGACAACAATTTGTTTAAGGAGTGTTTAATTATCTGTTTACTTATCAACTATACTTTCTCCATTCATTTTTACTAGTCCAATTTGAAAAATTAAAAGATAATTGATCAATTAGTTCCTAATTTACCCTGGTTATTATATTGGAGTTAGAGAGAGTGCCTTTTAATTATCTTTTGAGGTGAATATGTATTTGAACATGGCCATTCCTTTATTTCCTCTTTTAACGCTGCTCTTTTCGTATACAACTAACAAAAAAAAAAAACAGAAATAAAAAGATGTAAATTAGTTGAAACCCAAAATTCCATGGGGAACCATTTTTCTATTAATATATTTAACATTTTTTTATATGCATTGTCATTATCAATGTCAATGCTAATACCAAAATCCCAAATCTTATCAACAGCAGCAATTTTGCTGCTATTTTCCATTTTCATTTCATCTACAGAAGCAGCTTTCCCCCAATTCGACTGGGTCCAACAGGAATTCCTCAAATCACATAATGATTTGAGATCAAGCGTTGGCGTCCCACATTTACAGTGGGACGCCAACTTAGCTACGTTCTCCCAGTCATGGGCGAACCAGCGCAAGCAGCAGTGCGATTACAGGCACCATTCAACGAGCCCTTACGGAGAGAACATATTCTGGGAACTCTACAGGCAGAACACAGCAACTAGCATTGTCCAGAAATGGTTTGGAGAAAAGCAATTCTTCAACCACGCGACGAATCAATGCAATTGCCAGCCTGAACGTGCTGGATGTGAATGCGGTCATTATTTAAACGTTATATGGCGATCTACCACGAAAGTTGGATGTAGTGGTTTTGTATATTGTGATGATCAAAAAGGTGCGATTGTTGTGTGCTCGTATGATCCTATTGGGAACGTAAAAGGCGTTAATCCTCTGAATCCTGTTAACAATATGCATGGTGTTGCACCACCAGTTTTACCTCCAAGACAGGTGAACAACGGTGGTAGAGGTAGAAAACGTAATGTGGCTGTAACGCCTGTGGCGTTACCTGCCAATGCACGTCTCACATCGCCAGTTTTACCACCTAAACCGGTGAATACTGGAAATGTGGGACGCGGTAGAGGAAGAAAACACAATGTGGCTGTAAAATCACCAGCTCCATTGAGACGCCCTTCGAGTCCCCAAAAATCTCAACGTGGAAGAGGTAGAAGAAACAATCGGGTTTAAAGATCTCTGATTTCAATATTGGAGCATCGTCATTATGATTAATGGCGATGCTCCAACATTAGGGGAGATATGATCTCCCAATGTAACACATTTTGTGTGATCAGAATGTAACAATTTCTCTGCTTCTATACAACTAAAAAAAATCGAAATTCACATTTTTTTTTCTGATTTGAACTCGTTTTAATTTGAAAATGCAGTATTAATACCAATCATTTAATCTAATAACAAATATGAGGTTGATTTCTGAAATTAACATCAACTAATAGTTATTATCTTAGAAAGTCACTTTTTTTGTTGAAGAAAATTAGAATCAAGAAAAAAGGTGACTTTCTGAGCAGTAATCAGTAGATCGGATTTTGGAGGTTTGAGTCACGTTGAGAGCAGCAAAAATCCTTATTGATCCTCGTAGGGTGGGGTGAGAAGAAAAGTGGTCCTAAAAGTGACTATCAAGTCAAAAATACTTGTCATGTAACAGCAAAGTCATTGAACTATATGTTAGTAGCCCGTAAAATACATATCATTGGAAAGTCAAATTTCAGGTACCGAAAAATGACATGTCATTGCCACATCATCATTTTGCCACTGTATACATACCACATGAAAAAGCCTTGTTTTCACTAGTAAAACATCTTCTTCATTAGTGTCAAACTCAAAATCCCTTCTTCACTCTGAGGAGAAAACTTTGGTTTCTAACTGATAAGCTTTGGTGAAGAATGAGGGCCACGAGAGGTACGTTGAGAAGATGCTGCTAACAGTCGATGCCCCGATAAGCATGTTCATTACAACAATCTGCAGTTGAATCGCCTCGAGAGGAGAGGCTCCTCCCATAATTAGCCCAGTCATTGCACCTGGAAGTGATATAAGACCAACTGTTTTTGCATTGTCTAACACAGGAGACAGAGCAATAACAAGTGATCTTTTCACTTGTTGTAGTGTTGCTTGCCTAGGAGTTGCCCCTAGAGCCAATGCTGTCTCTACCTAGCCAGACAAACTAGATTTTTGAGTATGCATAGACCAAATTTGTCAACAACAACGAACAACATACTCAGTATAGACCAAATTTGTCAACAACAACATACTTGGTATAGACCAAATTTGCTAACAACAACATACTCAATATAGACCAAATTTGTTGCCAACAACAACATACTCAATATTAGACCAAATTTGTCACCAACAACAACGACAACATACTCAGTATAGACCAAATTTGCCAACAACAACATACTCAGTGTAGACCAAAACCTGTTGCCAACAACAACATACTCAGTATAGACCAAATTTGCCACCAACAACAATGACAACATACTTAGTATAGACCAAATTTGCTAACAACATATTCAGTATAGACCAAATTTTCCATTAAATAAATTGAAACTAATTTTATAGCCTTGTACTATCAAAATTGAGCAACTTTTCTACTCCTTCCGTTCCAGTTTATGTAGCAACATTTTCTTTCTAACAGTTCAAACAAGAATGTCAACTTTCTAAATTTGGAAATAACTTAACTTAAACTTCTCATTTTACCCTTTATAGTGACACAATTGTTTATGAAATGTTTAAGACTATGTACGTTTGAAATGTCTTATAACCACACAAATGTAATGACATGTTTATGAAAACAAGTTTCAATAATCGTACTTTCTTTCTTAAACTTTGAACTTGTTCAAACTTTGTCACGTAAAGTAAAGAAACCTTGTCACATCATGCCTACATTAAGATTTAAAACTCAACGTACCAGGGCCATTTGTATCTTGATGTCATCGCGGAGTTTCTTCATGGTAACCCCAGTGACAGTCATTGCATTGCCAACCATCATCCCCGCGACAGGAATAATGTAACGAGGGGTGAAAGGGAAAACATTCAAAATAACCAACAAGAACATAGTAACAGAAGTTCCAGCAAGAATTGAAACTCCAGCTATATATTTTCCTCTTGGTACATGTTTAGCACGTTGTCCAGCCGTATAACCAGCAATTGTAACCTTAAAAATCAACAAATATTAGCAAAGTAAGCCTATTTTTCAGTATCTGTAGAACTTTAGTGTCTACTTGTTTAATGTTATACAAGTTTAACTGTCTACTTACATACACTCAAAGTTGGAAGACATATATATCAGTTGAGGTCAACTTAACAAGCATATTTATGTATTATATGATAAAAATGAGTACTATATAAATCTTTAAAAAATAAATTAAAAAGATGTTATGATGTCATACCAAAAGGGAGATTTTCAAAATTTTCTATTATGTGTAAGTGGAGTAGTAAAGATGATTTGAAAGGTCAATTAAGTTATTGGAAAGTGGAAACCATACTCCAAACCTCCGTCCCTATTTACTTGTTCATATTTTCTCTTTTAGATGTCCCTATTTACTTGTTCATTTTGACAAATCAAGAAAGGACAAAAAAAAATTTCCTATTATACCCTCATTTAAACTTCCCCCAACATTGATTAGTTATCTTGAAATTTTTTATTTTGGAATCATAATTAATAAGGGCAAAATTGTAACTTCACTATGCTAATCATTGTTGCCTTAATATGTGTGCCATTTCTAAAGTGGACAACTAAATAGGGACGGAGGGAGTAAAATAGAGACCATGGATGCCAACTACAATAAAGTCAACATTAACATCAGCAAGTGGGAGAAGAATATTATTTTACTTTTTTTTTTTTTTGGATTCTACAATCAATTTGTTGATGATATCATAAAATAAAATAGGAATAAGAATGGGGACGTGTCCTTGTTGATTTTTTTTTTAATTTACCACTACATTATCTGCAATACTCCAATTAATATGAATCTATGCATTGCAAGAAATATATATCATAACGATTCTCTTAATATGATTTTTATTTAATAACTAAAGTTCAAATTCGAAATCTCTAACTAAAAACGAAGAGATCACAACTATTCCACCACAACTCATATCAATTCTTCTTGTGGAATTATTCTTTGCTGAAAGTCAAAAGAAGCATAAAGTCTTGATGAAAAGAAAAAAGGTAAATTATTGACCTAAGGAAGAAGTAAAAGATCTACAAAAATCGAGATTTGATATATGAATATTATGTTAGTCCGTGTAAATTATCTCACACTTTCATCCTTCTTAAATTATGTATCATATTTTTAATATGCGTTTTGAAATAATATTAATTAGAAGTATTTTTTTTTATTATTTTGCCTTTATTTATATCTTAAGATATAAACTCTCTTCATTAAATATTTACTCTATTGAGGTATTTATAATCTGCAAAAGAATAATTATTATTAAGAATAAAATAGAAAAAATATAATTAATTTCAGCTTGAACATCCAAAATGAAACAAAAAATTTAAAATAATTATTTTATAAATTCCGACAGATAATTTGAGATGGAAAGAGAATATTAATATAGCATTTAAAATATTTTTTTTTGATAGAACGTCTAAAGCACATGACCTGAAATAAATGTACTAATTATATGACAAAAATATATTTTTAATTAATAGAATTAGCCTATAAAATTTATTTTCCTTCTATAAATGTACAAGATATTTTTGTTTGCTAAGTTTACCTAAGATTCTTAAAATTATAGTTTTCTCGACACTACTTACTTTCATGTTATATGCAATTATATGATGTTTACTTTCACGTCATAGAAAATATAGTTTTCTTAGCTATATGTATACGTTATTAATTTAAAATTCAGTAAAAGATCTTAAATAGCTTTATTTCAAACAAATATGGAAAACTAAATTACCAGCAAATCTTGCACATATGTAGAAAGATTCTATATTTCTGCATTTTCTTGGCATCATATTCAAAATTGAAAAACACAATAAACAAGAAAGAATATAAGAATTAAACGATTGATTTTTCAAATGAACATTTAATTAAATAATAATAATTTTGCCCCCTCCTTAAAAACTCTCTATCATTTTGCTCTCGCTTATCATCTAAATAACTCATACTATTAAGAAAGTCATTATTCTTTTTGATTCTATTCTAATTTTCTTTAACTAAAAAAAGGTAATTTATTGAGATAATAATATTATTTGATCTAAAAAAATCCAACCTGGAAACTAGATAAGTGATCGTACGAGAAATCAACTGGAGAAATAAACATACCATGAATAGATAAGCAAGAATGATCCAAGCAACATTCTTCTGAGTGAAAATGAATTGAAGAACAAAACCAATAATGGATAGTTGAAGAAATGCTCTAAATACTGAATAAATCATTTCTCCTTCAAGACCCAATTTTTGTACATAAGATAATCCAACTGCCATAAACACAACAGCAAGTGCAGCAAAAGGCTTAATCATCCCTTTTAAGAAATCTCTTAACCAATCCCACTCCATAATTCTCTTCTTAATTATTTTACAAAAATTCAACAAGAGAAAATTGATAAAAAATTCTAAAATGTGAAAAAAGAGAATTTATTAGCTTCAATAGATACTAGGACAATTTCGAAACGATTTATGGGTGGAAGAAACTTAGGAGAATTTTATCCTTTTTAGTACAACCCCCAACACCCCC